TGGGAGAGTGAAGGTGAACATATCTATTCCAAAATCACTAAGCACTGACAAATGACAAAGGAGCTTAAACTGACTCTTTGTATAGATTTTTTGAGCAAACCACAGAACCATAGGAGGCCTTGACATGAGCAATACGCAATCAAAGGCTTGATTGGCATTGAACAATTGTACACATCTTTGTACTAGCATGACTCAGGGTCTCACGCGTGAACCGGAACGTTTGACTGGCGGAGCCTTCACGCAAAGCACAATGAAGAACCCGCAAATCTTAAACAGTAGAACGTGTCAATCGCACTTCATCTCCAAACTGAGCTCCTTTCGTTCTTTCGCTCATCCTCAGTGGATTGGCAAGCTGCTGCAACTCTTTGGCATCTGAGTGTTTCGTGCTACATCTGCAAGCGAACTTGGAATGGAGGCTGCTGGTGGAAACGGGAGTAATGCATGAGCAAGTGTGAGAGCGTGGAACGTGGCCAAACCTCTGCCCTCTATATCGCTGGCGTGCGCAAGCTGATTGGGTGCCGTGCAAAAGATGCTGCAACACAAGCACCATGGGAGTTTACTATCCAGGGGACTTACAAGACGGATTTGATAGTGACAGAATGGAACGGGGAACATCTGGTGCTTTAGGCGCACGCCCGGTCGCAAAGGTTGCAGCAGCAGCATCATCTGCAACTTCCCGAACTCTCCAAGACGAAAGAAAACAGTTTGTGGACACTGCCACAAGCATGGTGCACAAGCAGGAACGCGGCCGCCTCGAGCAAGAGAATGGCCAACGCTAAAGCACAACGTCGTCTTGCCCCAGATGCCCCCGACTTGCTCTTGCTAGCTTCTGAACATTGAAAGAGTGTATCCAAGGAGTCGTACCTAAGTCATGCGTGAATCATTCTGAATGCTGTGTGGCAGCACGATTATATAAACACAAAGAACATGCTCATGAAAAATCATGAACATGATGGGACGGACGGACGTTTCTTAAGTGTCCCTGCCACTTTTGTGGGAGAAACCTCGCTGAAGGCTGAATAGCAACGAATCTGTACCATGAACGGAGTGTTCTTTCCACCACAACAAAACAGAACACAACCTTGAAAGGAAGCAAACACTGAACGAAACACCAAGCAACCCAATCAATCAACAGTTATTGCAATAGGCTCTGCACTTCTGCATGAAGACACCAACAATCAATACGGGCTATGCTAGTGTTGAACACTGCAAACACAAAAAGACACACAAGCTAAAATCAAGCACCACACTCTGTTCAATTCACCTCCTTTAATCACACACCCTCAACCTGCCTCGGCTACGTACAATACATGGTTCTTCTATGTTCACGCAGAATACATCAGAATACAGGACTTGCTTGAAACTCCAACGGGTGCTGACCTTTGTCTCCACTTGAAATCTTCCCACTGCCTAGAACATAGACTTGTGCCGCAGCAGCGAGAACCAATAGAGCTTGGGCAGCAGCCTTGCGGAAAACCTTTCGGATTGGGACGCAAGCCCGCGCCTGGCAAAAGGATTAAACTGCAATGTCCAACATCTATTTCGTATATACGTGAATTTCCGTAACTCGCCAGCAGGACCCATGTGTCAATTCGACTTCTTGGAGGCTCTGTCTCTAGGAGCCAGCCATCCCTCCGAGCCTCAAACACTGACACGTATACTTTGAGCTCCGCCTCCCCATTATACCGCTTTAAAGTTGCACTGCACATCCTCTTCCGAGGGACAAGAGCAACTTATACAGAGTGAACATGCACATGTAACACCTCTGGATATGAGGAGGTTGAGTTGGGACTTGGGACCCAAACCATTTTGCCTGAATCAGGCAAACAACCTGGGTTGGCTTCTCCGTAATCTGCTTCTTCTGTCTCTTTCCTGGAGCGGAAAAAAACACGCCAGACAACATACAGCACCTGCAGCATCATTTTATGCTGTCTTCGTAAGTATGCCGCCTTTGATGGTCAGGTGCTGCTGCCTGACCTGTGCTGCCCATGTGTAATGGCTGCGCCCGGATAATTTTGGCAAGAGGAGTCACTGGTTGAGGTAAGGCCACAGCTTGAAGCAAACCTCATTCGAGTCCAGAGCGCATAGCAATCGGCAATCTCAAGTTCTGCCAATACCGAGTTGCATGCCTGTCAGCTGTCGCAGGTGCTGACCCAGGGCGCAAAGTGCTTTCTATCAAAGCACCTGAACGGACAGTGTGCATCTTGTTTCGATAAACTCATGACTTAATCAAACGCAATGCAAACCAAGAACGCACACGTCTCGCTGTTACTTTTTGGAACAACGAACCAGACGCGTATCTGTGCATTCAGTCAAGCTCCATAAATCGAACCTCGTGCGCTGTAGAGGCCAGCCTCGTGCACAGTGTGTCAAACCGAAACCCAAATGTCCGGCCCATGGATCGATTTGGCCTCCCTCCACACTTGTAGCTTCTAGCCCTAGCCACCTTAGTCTACTCCCTAGCCTCAAGGTTGGAATGATGCCATACCAATCCTTCCTCGTCGGTAAGTTGTAAGTAGTGCATTTGGAGTCATTGTAGAGGAGAACTTTCAAACGAAGAGCACCGCCTAGCACTTTGTTATTTCATGATCCAATGGGTTGCTTCCAGCCTCGGTGCTATGAGGTCGTGCCATATCACTTTTGCTGCTGGTTCCGGGTCTTGATGAAGTGCCTGGCTTTGACCTCACGCGTTCTTTCTTCTTTTTTGAGCCTGTGTGACCCTTTGAACTGTATTTCTTTCAAACAGTGTGGTCGAGTCTGATATGCTATTCTTCGCGCTCGACAATTTTTCAAGCTCATGGCAACTGATCCTCCCCTAGATCATGACCTCACGTCTTGAAGTGCCGCCAAAGTGGTTTCGGGCTGCACTGAAACAGCCTCAAAGATTCGTTGAACATCTGTAGGTTCCCTGCGAACGAAGCACATTTTCAGCTCGCCAATCAGAACCTTAAAGGCTTCAGGACAAAAGTATGAGGATTCAATTTCAATGGTTGTGACCAACTTCCAATAAGAATAACATCTAGCGTAAGCTATTTTAGCCATTGCGCAGCTCTCATATGTTCCACATGGGCAATTGAGGATATGCCGCAAAGCTATCCACCGAAAGACAGTTCCTGCAGAAATTATATTCTTTCAAGGACTCCGAGCCTCGCATGCGGCAGTTGCAGCAAAAGAAAACGACTTCCGCTCGATGTAGCTGTCGTACAATAGTTTGCCTCCTTCTTGGAGGACCTGCAGCAAAAACAAATTATTACAGACTAAAAAAGGGAAGCAAATTTAAGAAATGAACACAGACTTAAACATCCAACGCAGTAATCCTCTCCGCTCTTCGTTTGTTTTTTGTTCATAAGTCTGTTGGATTGCATGCCACGTTGGTGTTTTTGGGTATTCTCTTGTCTGTCGCGATCTGCCGCATATTGTGTCAAGATCTTGTCTGATGGCTGCAATTGACATGTATACTATGATACACTGATACAGTATGATACAGTATATTATATCCTGCTACTCCTGCTAAGCGCCGTGCACAACACCCTGTTGGTATATTAAAGCATGGCGACCACGTTTTAAAGCTGTAGTCCACTTTCGACACCGTGCGCAAAAAAGTTCGGGTTCACTTGCATTGTCGCACCTTTCTTAAACCATCTCAGACCAATGCATAATATTTAGTTGTATTTATACATAGAGCATCATAGAGTGTCTTGTTTCTCTTCCACTCAAGACTTCAATCCACTTCTACTTTTTCAGACTGGGTCATACCGTCATACCCCTAGCCTTACGCTGTACTCACCCACAGCTTGATCGTTTCAAGCCATCTTTTGCAGAACTGCTCCTTACTTGTGTGCCTTGTTCTCTTCTACGTCTGGCCACATGCATGGTGCTATTGCCAAATGGTGGGCAGGGAAGCAGCAAACCCCTTGTCAAGTGCAACCCGTGCAATCCTGTTTAGAGGAAGCACCTATGAGTACGCGCTTGTAATGATGCAATTCGATGAGATGCCACATCACACACTGCAAGGACGAAGCCAAGTCGTATTCATGGATGTGTCGGTCGTCCAATCACCCCTTTGCAACCGCATTCTTACACTGAGCGATACAAAAACAGGCGCATGCAACTACTATCATGACCAACGGCATGAAACAAAAGACAACTTGTGGGCACCTGCTCCAGAACCGATTGGGCCGCTGTTTCAGCAGCTGAAAATGGATCCAGAAGCTCAGGCACATCTGGAACCTCCTCTGACATGTCCTGGCCCACTCTTGACAATCGATTGCTCGGAATCATGGGCCATGATGTGCCAGGGAAAGCTGCAAGACCCAAGACTCAAGCAAGTCCTTGCAAGCTCTGTTGCTTTCACATTTTGGCAGCTAAACAAAGCCTGTGTGTTGTCACTACCAACACAGACTGCCAAAGAGCCAAAGGACAGCGCAGGAATTGGTGCCTGTGTATGCCTGTGCATTTCCAAACTTGTGCGAACAGAATGACAACTCTCTTCTGTTTGCTTCAGTGAATGTAACCTTTCTGAAGACCACAGAAAGCTTCGAAAGACGTCAAACTCAACAGCTCTCAGTTCTGGTTCTCATCATCTGCTGTCATCATAGTCTTGGCGCTTCTTTGGGTCTGAGAGCACACTGTAAGCCTCCAAGCCAAGCGAAAAATGGCCTAGATGGGACTGAACTTGGCCAAACCTTGTTGAGCTTTTGGAATGTTTTTGGGTCACCGCCCTTTTCTGGATGTGCGGTCATCACCTCCAGTCATGTCGCAAATTTATGCGCTATTCCTGAATGAATGGGCGCTTGGAGTCTGAGGAACCAACAAGCTCTCGAAACTTCTTTCGAATCTGAAATTGCTTCAGAAGAACGTTAATTCGGAAATTGCTCGGTCTGCAACATGCCCAACTTCCAACCTCTTGCAAAGACGAGGTTGAAGACACTCCGAGGAGGCCATAATAGTCCTGGCTACACTTACAAATTTTTATCTGAGGTACAAGCCACAGTTCTTGCCTGGGTAGAGGGTTGGTGTCCCTGTTTGTATCAATAGCTCCTCTTCGTCGCACTCTGGCTTTGCCTGAGAAGTAGAAAGCACGGTGTTAACATGCCCCACCTAAAAATGCCAGGCAACTCGGTGAAGCAAAGCAAGGCTGACATGTAGGGACAAATCCAAACCAAGCCTGTCCAGGTCGGCCTCAGAGTCTCTGTATAGTAATTAGATGTCAAAAGAAGTGAACACATGGAGACAATCTAAATTTCCGTAACCTTCAATCTACAACACACGTGCAATTGGCACGCATTCCAACCACGCAGGTGGTGTGTTGCCATGGCACCAGCAGCTCGCCCATTCAATCGGGTTCCATCTGCAAAGGACGCAGCATGCAATTGCAAGAGTGTTGCATATTTGAAGAACCACGCGAAAGTCATTCAAGTAACACCTGGAGCAATGTCAATGACTTCATCGTCATCATCATCGTCTTCAGCCTACACACGAGTCATGGTTTCTGGGCTTCAAAATGGCACCATCATCATCATTCATCCCGCTGAGTGGAGCAACAACAAGCATAAACATGGACCTTACTGAGGTCAACGCTGCCTCTGCAACTGAAAGAGAAACTCCATCTTGCCTTCATTCTTGTTTCGTTCCATTGCGACAGGTCCAAAGAAGACACTCTAAAATACTCTAAATGTTCTTTTTCATGTCGCAAGGCTTGGGGCGAGGGATAGTTACATACAACCACTTTTCAAAACGGGTAGTAGCACAGGGCTGTTGAGCGTGTGAAAAGGACGTATGATGACCTATGCTTTGAATATCTTTGATGCGCCATGCCTCCTCGTATATTGTGCCTGGCCATCTGGACCAATGGTCTTTTGCCAATCGTCCTGAACTGACTAAACAACAACCAACTCAGGTGATTTTATCTATTTGCTTGGCATGTAAAATCGTTGAATGCAATAAGTAAACCTTTAAACATTGAGAGCACCATCGGGCTGGGCTGTTCAAACGGCGTCCATTTAGGCACTTGTGGTTTGTTTGGAAAATTTATCAAACAATTTTACTGTGTCTTGTTTGCCTCGAACCAATCACCTACCAAATCCTGATTGCATACCAAGCAATCTGATACAGGTTTCCGGAAAAATGCATGACAAAACGTCACGCCCACAGACCCGACCTTGGCATCTACCAAATCCAGCTCTTCTTGTGTCAATATTGGCTTTGACACTATGGCTTTGATCTTTGCCAGAGCAGCGTAAAAGTCCTCCTGCGGTGGACTATTGCAATACGTCAAAAAATCACTCCCAAATCCAATTGCGATCACAGAGTCACCGCTCTGTTTTCCTAACGGGGGAACTGGAAGCCTTCTCATCAGTCATCCAGTGATGAATCATCTCATTTATTTCCTGGCAGCGAGAGCCCGTTTTTTATCTTGGTGCAATTTCGCCAGAACTACAGGACCAGTGCCTTAGAACAATATACGCCTACACTGTAGGTGTTTACATTTTCATGCTGTCAGGTTGCTGTCAGGTTGCTGTCAGGTTGTGCAGTTGCCCTTGTTTCAAGTCCATACAGTACCATATACCGTCGCAGAATTCTGTAAATATATAAGTAAGTAGGTATGTGTGTTTGGATGGATGGGTGCTTGTGTTCAGGAATGTCTGTGTGTATGTGTGTGTGTATGTGTATGTATGTATGTAGGCATGTATGTCGGTATGTTTTTCTGTAAAGTAATGCAATGCAATATTACGTTATTATTGTGCTCGTGCACGGGTGGAATTTTTCGCTGCGCCATCCAGTTTAGGTGACTGGATTGTCTGCAATGTGTGTTATGTTATGTTACGCTACATTGAAGTTATGTACGTAGTTTTCCTGAATTTTTCTGCGCAGTTTGAGCGTGGGCTCTTTGGCCGGGCATCGCTGCAGGTCGCCAGTTGCCCTCGGCATGCCCCACCAGGTGCCAGAAAAACCGACTGCCTGTCTTCTGACTCATCTTGGACTGCTTTATCCGACGAGGTGTAGTGGTGCGTGGCGGCATTGGCTACGGCAGCTGGTCGATGGACCCTGCCACTGTTCTCATCTGCAGGTGTCCATTGCGACTTGGTGCCTGCAAGGGACCGCGCGGCAGAGTTGAGAACTTAACGGCGGGAACTACTGGATTCATCCTTGCAGGCGCGGTGAAACTTTGAAGTCAAGATCAAGCGCCCGAGTGGACTGTGATCCCACAGGGTGTACTGAGGATAGCCCGCGTTTCGTATCAAACTGTTAAGCTGTTGGAACAAGCTGTTAAGCCGTTACCCCGTTGGAACAAGCTTTTAAGCCGTTACGCCGTTATAGAACAAACTATTACGCTGTCACGCCGTAAGAACAAGCTATTGCGCCGTCAGAAAAAGATATTTAGCTGTTACGCCCTTATTATTATTGTTAGTAGTAGTAGTAGTAGTAGTAGGAGTAGGAGTAGGAGTAGGGGTATAGGGGATAGGCCACCTCCGGCCGGATGTGGCCGGATGGCCTGATGTGGCCGGATGCCCGGAGGTGGCTGGTGGCTGGAGGTGAGTCGGCGCGTGTTTTAGGTCGCGCGGGTGAGGGTTGTATGTGGGAGAACGTGTGGAAGATCTGCAGAACGCCGCACCCTTAAATAGATATTCTGGGATGGTTCCAGTAGATGGTGAGTAGTATCCCCGCGCCGCAGTGTGTGTTTCCTGAGCGGCAGTTTAAATTTTGTCCTGCAATAGTACTCCTGAGCACGACCGTAGCCCCAGAAGAAACTAACCTCTTTAAGGCAACGGAATGGCCATCCAAAACCACCTTTGGTGACACATTGTTGGTAGCTTGAGCAGTAGCTATAAACTGTCTCCCGGACTGTGGGGAATACATGCAATAGGCGCAGCGTACAACACTCAGCCGCCTTGCAAGCTGACATTTTGCAGGGTTACGGACAGCGAAAACATGCAAAAACTAGTCTGTTGTGAAACTCATCAACCGACCTGTTATACATCCGGACCGTTTCTGAACTTCTTTGCGCTGGCCCGTTTTTTGTCCTGCAGGCGCAGGAGCTTTGGCGTGTTATGTTTTTGCGCGCTCCTGGATGAATAGCTGGGCGAAGAACTTGTTCATGTGGTGCACTGTGTGGCCTAAATTGCGAGTTCACGCTTTCAGCAATGCTTGTTGGGAAGGTGCCCAACAAAGCACTATTCTCTTCCAAGGATGGCAGGCAGCGCTCCTTGCAATACGCTCCGGTGTGTCCTGCTGAGTGGAAGTCATCGATGATGAAGCTCTTCTATGATAGGCGATGAGCGATGTCGGACGCATGTTGATGCTGCAAGCAGAACAACTTCAAATGGCTGTCGTCATGTACAACAACATGGAGATTGGGGAGGCGCGCCGCCAATTTGGCTTAGAAGTGGTACCTCTGCGACAAAGACTCAGCACAAATCAGCTCGTTGATCTCAATGATCAATCCTGCATGTTTAAGGCTCATTTGCTGTAAAGCTTGGCGCGCGTCACTTGACTTACGCCAGCTATAGATATGCGCCGCGAGCCGTTTGCCGCTTGAGTGGAGGTTGCATGCGCCCTTGAGTGTAGGTTCCTTGAGTGTAGTCAGCTAGGAACAGCCAGCACTCAGCGAAGCTTTTCCGCTTTTCAGCGAAGCTTGGCGCAGCAACAACAACAACAACAGAAACAAGGGCGTACGGCGGTGACGGGGCGCGACCCCAAACATACGGGCGACTGGTCGTGAGATTGTCGGCTGGCCGCGTGGCCGGGTGGCCGGGCTGGCCGGAAGGCCGGGGGTGGCCGGCTGGCCGCGTGGCCGGGTGGTTGGGGCCGGTGGCCGGAAACGAAAACAGTGTGTAGTAGTAGTAGTAGTAGTAGTAGTCGTAGTAGTCGTCGTAGTAGTAGTAGTAGTCGTAGTAGTAGTAGTAGTCGTAGTAGTCGTAGTCGTAGTAGTAGTAGCAACACTCGTTTCGCTTAATTGCTGGATCGCTGGTTGAAATTGCTTAATCGCTGATCGGAACCGCTTATAATTGTTATACTTATTCTAATCGCGTAATCGCTGATCGAAGTCGCTGAATCGCTGACTCGCTGGTTTCGTATCAAGCCGTTAGAACAAGCTGCAAAAAAAATGTTACGCTGTTAGAACAAGCTATTAAGCCGTTGCACTGCAGAATAATGCTATCAAGCCATTACGCTGTTACGCTGGTTTTGTATTCTCTTCTCTTGATGGAGCCTCTCTTTTCTACCATGGAACTCTCGTCTCTTCATGGAACCTCTGACCCTCTCTGTTGTAACTAAATAAGCCCGCGAAAAGTCAACAGCTGGGCGTCAAAATCCGCCTGCTAAGCCATGGCACCATCGCAATGGACCTTGTCAATGTGCCACACAAACGTGCCAACGCGGCAATACGTTGGCGCAGCGCGTCATCTGCCCACATGTGCGCAAGCGCGACAACGCCACCACAAGCAAGACCCAGACCCCGGAGCCCACCTGGAGGGTGGGTTTGCCAGCAAATCAGCGCGACAGCGTGGCCCAACTTCGGCGTCTCAGCCTGACAACATCTCAGCGCGTTAACGGGATCCATGCCAGCAAGAGAACATGTCAGCATGACACGACGCAGTGATATCAGCGTGACAACGCGAATCATGACGTCAGTGTATCGGCGAGGCAACATTCAGACAGATGCTTCACATGCTTGGGGCAGTCTTGTGAATTTCAGGCCATTGGTCAGGACAGTCGTTTTCAACAATGCTCCGGAACCTCCTCTGCAACCTGCTCCGCAACCTGCGCCAGAACCTCCTCCGCAACTGCTCCGGAATGCACAAGCTCCTCCCAAACCTGCTCCGGAACCTCCTGCTTCGGAAACTCCGGAACTTGCCTCGGAACCTCCTCCGGAAGCTGATGATGAGTTGCCGGAACCAACTGGCTGTCGAGGTTGTTGATGTCACAGCCATGCTTGGAATTCTGGGGTCTGTTGCTCGGCGCTTGACAGGATGGCTCCTTCATACCTGCACAAGCTGACGCTGGTGTTGCCAATACAAATACCACTAGGTGTAATGGGAACTGTTGCAAAGTGAACCGGGTTGGCGGCGCGGACTGCTGGTGAACAGGAGACAAATTGCGAAGCGCATCAATGTTTTGCGCGAGATGTGCTGCGTCAATGTCCGCGCCATTTTGGGGTGGAATTTGAGCCGACGCACGAAGGTCACGGATTTGACTCTGCTCAATTCCTTTTGTTCAACCCTTTGGGATTGCAATTGGGCTGGTCTTGAAGGCGTTTCATCAAAGTCTACCCCCAGCTTTCATATACTGCAGGCAATGGCTGCGGCCAAGGGTCCTTTCACGCCTTACATGGGGTAGCTCGCATTGTCAGGCTGTCGAACCAGCGCCTGCCAAGCCTGTTGTACATGATCCATCTCACAAACATTCACTTTCGGAATTTTCTCGCAACACTTCCTGTGATGGTGGAAGCGAAAAAAGTGATCCTGGTGAAGGTGGTGATGCACATGTGAGGAAGAAACCTTCCAAAGCTCCCAAACCTAAAGCTGCTCCAAAAGCGTCAGTCTTGAAGAGGCCCGAAACCTTCGCCAAAGAAAAGGGCGAAAAAGACAATGAGATGGAAGCACAGGATGTGCTGGAGGACGAGGAAGATAAGACTACAAAGGGAAAAAGCAGAAGAACAACAAGAAGGATGACAAGGGAAACAAGGCGAAGGAGTGAGCCTAAGAAGGGAAAGGGCAAGCCAGCAAATCACCGTAGAAATCCCAAGGGCTGCGCCAGAAGCTCAATTTGAAGAGATGAAAATGTTTGGGACTGCTGGCAACAGCCAGAATGTCAAAGCTCTTCTGTCCAACTTTGCTCCGGGCTTAGAGAGCATTCGATTCCTACAGGCCATGGCATAGGACGTAGCTGCTGAAGGTAGCTGACATGACGTCCAAGAAAGACACCGTTTGGATTTCCAACGGTTTAACTTGAAACATTTGCGCAGCTCAGAGTTTTCTGCAAACCTCAAATCAGTTTCTGTGCTAGATCTGTTTGAAATATATGTTGGACATTGTTGTCAAAGCGTTCCTGGTGGCAAATAGGATATATCCCATCATGATGGTAGGATACATGAATAAGATAATGTATCTTTATATTTTAGATATATTTTAGATATCAGCATATTATAAGATTTATATCTTATTAATAAGCTAAGAGGATCCTTGAGGGGGCTTGAGCGAAGGGCCGCAAAAGATCGGGTTCGCCGACCTAGAGTGATCCCAAGCCTTCTTCATGGCGTGCTTGCTTTCACCAGTCGCCGCCCTCATTTTGAGGTGCCAGAGTTTCACACCTCTTGCTTCACACTTTGCTCCACCCCGAGCGGCGTGATTTGCCTATAGCCCTAACCTTGGCTTGGTTGGCCGCCTTCGCGTCGCTCTTGGGCGCACGATCGCTCGCGGCGTAACGTATACCTTGTACTTGCGGGTTCCTTGATCATCGCGCAAATCTCCCCACTAGCGGGGGGTCTTGTGAAGTTCAGGCTTCTCCACAAAATGAACTTGCCTCTTCGATGACTTCGGCCTATCCTTTGCAGGTGGCAAGCGCAACTTCTTCATGCGTGATGGGCCTGGCAGATCGCCTGCCAAACAAGCAAAACGGTTTCCCTTCTTTTCCTTTCCATGTTTGGGAGAATCCTTGCGTGCCTTAGTCTTTGGGGCAGGCGCTGCCTTGTCACCATGCTTGAAGAAACACTTGCCACCCCGTGGAGTCCTAATCATCTTTTTCTTCTCTCTGTCTTCGCTCTTATCCCTCTTGTCTCTTTTCTCATGCGATGGATCACGCTTCTTGGAGGGGTCGCATTTCGGCTTCACATGCTTGAACTTGCAGTCCTTCCCCTGGTACATTTCCCCCCAAGGAAGGCCCAACAAACTCCATTTTCCCGTGAGGCTGGCCGACCACGCGACGGAGAGCGCTTGCGGCGTGGGTCTTGAGCCGGTGCCGCGTTCTTGTCATTGCGATCGCCTGTCTTTAATTTGTTGCGCTCGGCGATTCGCGATCGATTCTCGCGAAGGCGCTCCCGATCAATCAAGTCCTTGAAACTTTGCACGACCGGTTACAATCACCCTCTTTCGCTCGATCAAACAAATCAATGTCATACCTCAAGATTGAACTGGTTCGAATCTGCCTCAACAAGATATCCCTCAACACATTTTCACGCGGTGGTTCGGGCATACCCGCGATGGTAGCGTCCCAGCGGTTGATGAATCGTTTCCAATCAGCCACGGTGTCGCCGACCTTCACCACGTTGAGCAGGACTTCAGCCCGATAGAGGCTCCCAGCTTCTTCTGATGTTTTGAAGTAGTCGTCAAACATGAGGAGGATGATCATCCTACATCGAACCTGGATGCCTAGCCTAGCCTTCTCTTCCTTGTAATTGACGATGCGATTGGCTAGGTCACCCTTTGCACTACGTGTCAATGCAGCGACTAGCTTATAATATAGTGTCCAGAGTAGTGAATTTGCTTGGGCTTGGGTTGGAAAGTCGATCTTCCAAAACACTCCTCACCGTGTTATATACCTCCATCAACCAGTCCCATGCTGCATCGGGATTTAATCTCGTCTCTCACGTGACGTTTCCATTGTCGATAGGTTTCGGGAGTTGGCATATCATTTAGCTTGATATGGTCCTTGACTTTGGGTTTCTCATCGCTCTGGTAGTACTGGCTTGACCGGCGTCGTTGGCAAACCCGTTGATGCGGCTGCAGCTCCGAGAGGGGCAGCGCCAATGACGGCGGCTTCTGGCACACTTGGTCCGAACAAGCCACTCAGTCTTGCACTAGCTTCTGCTGCAATGGTCTCAAACGTTCCTTTCTGCTTTTCTTGCTCGCTCTGCCTAGGCGTCATCGTGGGAGAGGGAACTGCGCTCGTTGGACGATACCCTTGATCTGTGACGTCTTTGCTTTCAGCCCTAAGTTCATCAATGATCTCTTGCAAACTGTAGTTTTCGCTTTCCGCATTCTTCAGCTTGCGCTGAAGGCTAGCTATGCGCTCATCGAACTCTGCACGAATCCTTGCACTCCTTGCTCAAGATTGAGTGTGACACTGTTCACCGTAGCTTTGCAGTCTTGCATGAGTTGCGCGCGCAATGCATCCAGTTCGGCTACCTTCTCTTGGCCTAGTGTGAACACACGTGCTTTTGTAGCGCTAAGCTCTACTCGCAGCTTGTCATAGCTTGATTGGGCTTGTTGCTTCACAGAGCTAAGTTCCTCATGGTGTCTGCTTTCAACCTCCAGAATGGCTTCATGGAGTGCAACCCATCTTGCCATTACTTCGTTGTGCCTCCGTTCTGCCTCAGCAATGATTGCATCTTCATTGCCATTATAGACTTGCTGGATATTTTGTTGCGCACATTGGAAGTACGCTGTCACTGGTGCCAAGCCCATAGGATCATCTAGATCTATTGCGGGCGCAGCCGTGAGGCCGGCTGGCACAGCGACAGAAGATGTAGCGTTACCCGGAACAGCTAAGGTGTCCATGGCTGTGGTTAGAATACTACGGCTGATGACCTATTCTATAAAAACAGCCGTTAAGCTACCGATCCTGTTTTGGGCTGCGAGCTTGAGCCAAGTGCATGAGTATACATGGTATCTACTTTGTGCATGGCTAAAAGCTACATATTACGTGGAGTGAAAATGCAAGTTATATGACCCATGATGATAATCCTAACAATATTGGTGGTCTTTATATCAGCGAGACCCTTGTTTGCCCAGTACAGAATCCATTCTTGAGAGGGTGCAAGTGTGCGCAAAACCAATAGCTTAGAATGGAAGGAACATGAAGGAAAACTGCCAAACTTGGAAGGGAACTTCTTCGAAGCTTGCCGCTTGCTTGCCCTCAAGTTGGAAACTACATGAAACAACTTAGTGATGATTCCACATTGTAAAACATCAAGATGAGTTGTGATCACACGCGTTTTGGTGCAACGCATTGAACAGTGTACCAATATGTATGGAAGGCAAAAGAAGCAAATATCCAAAAGCTAACTCCAAGAAACCAAAAGGAGATAATTATAGATAATTCATTGAATGCCGCTTTGGCCCATGAATGCCAGTGCGCACAAGAGAAAGAATTGACAAGCTTAGCATACTTTCTTGGGCAAGCGTAATCCTTAAAACCCACCTTTAAACAAGCCTGTAATCCGCCACGGAGCATGTGAATCCCCTCCAAGACCCCTGAGCAAAACCTAGCTATCTATGGCGGTAAAGCACTTGCACTTTTGCCACCGCCACCTGGACTATTTTTCGTTTTGCTTCTGCTTGCCGGAGGGTTCACCAAGTTCACCCTCCAAGTGCCCCAAACTCTTCTGGCCCTGGTACGCCTCTCGAATGTGGTGGCCACACAGTTTGAGTTCTCGCCCTGGTGCGAACGACAAAGGGTAGTCCTCGATACAGCAACTGAAAACACGGCAAATCTGCTGACGACAAGACTTGATGCCAGCACGAAAACGGCTCCAGCAGCTTGCACACTAAGGCCAAGTCTGGAAGACCAAGCATCTGCAAGCCTTCTTTCATCCCATTGTATGTACGGCTTATCATGGCACTTATTGCCTGGAAATTCAGCACAACAAAGTGTTGTATTGAGTTGAAGATCTCATTCAGCAAATTCCTCGGGGTCTCGCACCTGCTCACATGCATCATGGTCCGGCCGCGAAGACGACTTTTCTGTTGGCGCCGCAGACCTCTATATTTATGGAAAGGCTCTGCTTGGCAACAACTGTGAAATTCAACAACTGATGTTATTTTTCACGTGCAACATAAAATACATGTTTTGTCCGAAACTCTGATACATCCGGAAACAACAATGTAGATCTTGTGGCGTCTTGTGCTGGCATACAAACGGCAGGTCCGGTTGCTTTGTCGATCTTGGGCCGAGGCTTGAGCGTTCCACCAAATGATAGGCCTTTTCTTGGTTCCCTGAGCACAAATCTTTCCATGTCCCTGTACTGCGCCCACAAACTAAAACGAGTTTTGGACTGAACTTCCGATCCCTTCTTCCATGTGAATCCCTGGCTGGGCTGACTCCTTTCAGCGCACCAATCCCAGCCAGTGACATATAGTGAAACGTGCTTAGCCAAATTGTGTAGGACTAGGAACTGTTTTTCTTCCGCACAACGTTTTCGTTGAATTCCCTCAGCTCTGTCAGCTCCTCTGCGGATAGCCCGCGAAGGCCTTTCCGCTTGATGCAAATGTGCGTCATATGTTGTTTCCGTGTTTTCCCAATCCAGGCGTTTACACACTCATGATTCACATGTTTGATCATGTTTGTATGCTTTGTTTTGTCGGAACGATTGTACTTCTCCTCGGGGTTGCCAATGCCGCTCCCCGTGCTTCTCGTAGCTCTCCTCGCACCATTTGGTTTGCCTGATTTTGTTTGCTCAATGTCATTTTGCGCTATTTTTGCCCAATCAGTCACACACTTCCGAGGTGTTGCTGATTCAATCCTCGCAGCTTCTTCTCTAGACCTGATACATCAAACCATGCCAATTTCACAAACCATTCCGATGCGTGCATAAATTCAGAGTGCTCAAATTTAGCATATTTTGGATTTGTTCTGAGCAAACCATGCGTTTTCGAACAAAAACTTGCCTGGCAATCGTCGCCTGTCGAGCCTGTCAATCTTTCTTGCAAATGCAAGACGCCCTTGCCGGCCCTCGCTTCACAAAACACAAAAATACGATGGATTCTTCAGGGCGCATTTCGAACACCTTGGTTCTGGGGAATAAATGCGAAAAAGGAGGCGCAAGGACCGTTTCTTAGCATTTCAGCAGCAACCCGGAGGGACCCGTGGGAGCCCTAGCCTTTTCAGCTTCATATTCTGCTCGTCTCGCTTCATCCTGCAAGGAGATGCTGTTTGTTTGTTTGTTTGTTTGTTTGTGTTCGATCAATAAACAACTTTCCCGGGAGTGTCTGCGAAAGGGTTCTTCCATAGAAACGGCTGCCGGCTGCCATTAGTACACTGCGAGCAACGGGCTTTGTTTGCACTTTTATACTGCTGCTTCAGAGCTTCAAATCTGCTTATGTGACAGTTTGCTGTTCTGGATGTGCCTCACTCCAGGCCTGCCACAAGTACATCTGCAACTTGCAGGCTTGCTCTTCTAGAGCTGCTGCTTCTATTGTAAAAGTGCTGCTGCTCGAGATGCATTCTTGCAGTTGCCACTGTCAGTGTGCAAACAGTAGGTTGTGTGCCGTGTGTAGCTGATTAACTTGGTGTTACTGGTTGCCTGTATCTGATGTACAGAAACTTTAGCTGGGATTGCTTCAGGACACACACCTGTAAATTAACCATGTAACTTTCGCTGGGGTCATGCTTCAGCAAACACTTCTGCTAACTTGATTATGCTCACACATCTGAGTTCAGTTCGCGTCTGCATGTCACATCTCAGATATTTATGAATATTTTTCCCTAGCCAGTGTTGCGAAAAATGACCCTTCATGTGTGTCGGATGCTCAAACGTGAGGTGAGACGGAAATTCCCGGCGTGCCTGGTGAGGTAACCGTAGGTAACCGTAACCCTTTGCGTGGACCGTGCGCGTCGGACGCTCAAGTGTGAGATGAAATTTGCTCGACGCGTGCGTCCGGTGCTCAAACGTGTGGTCAAAGGCGATTGCCACGCGTGCTGGGTGAAATCTTTGTGGGGATTGTGGCCGTCGAGCGTGAGGTCAAACGCAAATTTTTGCGTGGGCCCGGACCTGGTGAAACCTTCACAGGGATCTTGTGCGTCGAGCGCTCAAATATGGGGTGATTTATTTTGGCTGGGGTGACCCCTGTGCGGAGATTGTGCGTCACCAAAGTGCGTAACTGTTGTCCAAAATGAAGGCGGATGTTGCCCAAGTGTAACCTGTGGCCTCAGAGCTGGCGACTTTGTAGCGCAAATGTACTCGATAAGCACCTTCTCGAAACTGGTCCCAGAGCTGGCATAGTGCGGGATCCTGGGAGCCTGGCAACTAACTTTGTAGTGCACACGCGGAAGTGGCAAGTTGTAGGACAAATGTAGTCGGGCGCACAACTTTGTAGTGGCTTCTGGAACTCCGCGCTGGCAACTTTATAGCGGTGTCCCGCAAGAGTGCCCGAGAGTGTGCAAAAAGAGCGTCCCACCACACTATCGTACGTGACCTCAAAGCTGTGGAGCCTGGCCTCAGAACTGGCTACTTGGTAGTGCAAATGCTGTGTGGGAAGCAGGTTGTGGGAATGTGGCCTCAGAACTGGCAACTTTGCAGCTTCAGGAGCCACGGAAAGCTGCGGCCTCAGAATTGCAAACTGTTCCGGGGGCCGGCCTCAGAACTTTGTAGTGCGAATGCAGTGCAAGAAGCAGCTTCTGAGAGCTGTGACCTCAGAGCTGGCAACCTTGTAGTGCGAATGTAGTGCGGGAAACGGCTTCTGAATGAGCGGTCTCACAACGGCAACTGGGTAGCGCGAGCTTCTGGGAGCTTGGTGTTGCATTGTTGTATCTACTCTGTGGCGCAACATGTGGCAAAGTGCGTCTGCGCTGTCGCTGCGCCGGATTTGCGCGGCCTCGGGGGAAAGTGTTTGCGTGGCTACGCGCGCTAAGGCCCTTGGGACACGAAAAGCAAGCGTGCGCAAACGCAGGCTCTTGGGATCAGGATGATTCGCGGTGTCTCCGAGGCTTGGTGTTACATTGTTGTATCTACATAGTCCTCGGCGCACCGCGTTGCAAAATTACATCTGTGAATGTCTGTGATGTCGCTGTACTATGCGGTTTTGGCGGCCTCGGGGGAAAGCGTGTTTGCGTGCCTCCGCGCCACTTGGGGAACGGGAAACATGCGTGCGTACACGCGGCGCATCGCTGGTGAACGGGCTAAGTGGTTGTTTCCTTGACGAGCGACAAGTAAAGAGACGCGCGTTGACACCAAAAAACTGAACAACAACCGACCTTGTACTTTTACGCATGTGTCGTCGAGTTTTTGAAAGGGAGGGGTAGAGCATGAAGAAGCTAAGAAGTAATGAGATGTGGTAGTAGCCTGAGCGCCTACTAGGCTTGGACGCGTTCTTTTGTGGTGAGGTGGGGGTAGCTTCCTTGAAGCTGCCCTCCCACGATTGATGTGTTTCCTAGGTTTTTTGTAGGCTATACTGGCCGGGCCAAAGGCTGCGAAGAAGTGGAAAAAGTAGGGCTTTGTGGAAAAACGCGACAGCTGCAATGCACTACCGAGGCTGACTCCAATGCCTCAGCAGCTTTTCTTCTTGCGTCAAATGTTGCCTCGCATCGCCAAGCTTCACACCAGTGCAACAAAGTTTGAAGCCAGGTTCCAAGGAACTCATTTTTGAGTTCTACACTGTACACGACATGCTGGGAAGCTTTAAAGTTAGTTTGGAACCTCTTGTCTCCGTGTCAAACTGTCAAAGCTTTCCTGGCTCAGGTTACTTCCAACAGTAGACTGCAACACTTCCGTGGTTGAGAATGCAGGGCGTCAGGACAACTACAGTGTTGTGTGTGGTTTCTATTGCTGGTCCTCGGGCTCATCAGGCCTGGCCTCAGTTTCAAGACTGTGCTTCGTAGCAGCAACAGCAAATACATTGTTCGCGAACAATACTGACCTATTCCACTTGAGATCGTTTGGGCCTTGGGCGCCCCAAGCTTGCCGTAACCGATCGTAATTCATTGCTTGCATTCTCGTTTCGGTTTGCGGGGGCCGCTTCAAATCGTAAAACTTGACAAGATATGACAAGATTGTCTGCGGGTGTTGCGAAGGTTTCAATTTAACATCCGCAAGTGTCACAAATGCACTTTCGCACTGCCAAGCTCAAAGCAGTTCAGTTCTTTGAAACAAACAGTTGGTGACGGTCAACATGCGTGCTCTCAGAACTCACAAGCTGCTTGATTGTTTGAATTTGCACTGTTCGCGCCGCTGTAGCTGGTCATTGTTCTCTGCGCAACATCTCCATACAACAACTCTAAGTTTTCAATTTGCCTTCCAACGCGAAGGCCCCATCTATCGAGTTTCGTCAAACCTTTGCCTGCAGGATGCTTGAAACAGTTCTGCCACAGGTGCAAGTTATTGGGCCGCTTGTTCTTGAGCTTCTGGAGCAGTAAGAGCTGGCGGTCAAGTTTGGGGTCAAGGGTGGGTTTCGTGAATTCTCAGTCTCAGTGCAACGCAGGTCCGCTTCGTTGTAACCACTAGCATTGGTCAAGGGCGGGATCAAAACAACTACTGGTTTAACTTGTTCTGCGCAGCAAGTCTCTTGAAACAGTATTGAAACAAACCCTTGTCTCACCAGGTTTGTCCGAACCCCAACCGCAAAAAAATCCACAAATCCGCTGCAACAAGAAACGCGCGCATGACAGATACCTGACACACGCATGATACACAGAAAACAAGATCGCGCAAGCAGAAAGACACACACACACATACAAAGATAGACAGAAAGACAGAAAACAACTTAATAGTTAATAGATTGCCCAACGGATAGGTAGATGGATAGGTAAGTAGGTAGGTAGATTATAGATAGATAGATAGATAGACTTAGATAGAAAGATAGGTAGGTAGATAGATAGATAGATAGAGATAGATAGACAGATCGAGATAAGTTTCAGGTCCCGTCGGGCACCGCTGGGCCACAACTGGGTGCGATAGATCACATACGTACACATACATACATACATACATACATACATACATACATACATACATACCATCCATGCATGCATGCATGCATGCATGCATGCATCCACGTATACATTGCCTTACATTATTACAATGCGTTGCGTTACATTTCATTATACAACATTACGCTACATACATACATCTATCAAAAGTCTTTTGCCTAAAGCCGTTGTTAAACGGGAATTCCATGCGCACCGCTTCGTTTGCCAAAACGGACCATTTATATATCTCTAAGTTTTGTGAAAATATTGAAAATGATTGGAAAGACATAATCCTGTCCAAAAGCCCCGCAAAATTGTCAACGACCAATCATCCTTCAGTCACTGCTGGACCTACAGGCGTCAACATAGCCACACACTGAAAGTAAGGACATTCAAAGAACATTGGGCCGCAAAAGGCGAGCGACTCACAGAGGTCATCTGCGCGCACACTTTGCTACGCTAGCAACAATCACACTGGTCTTCTGTTTTGCAGTACCTATCGCCACACACAGTCACTCTAATAGGCCATTGGGTAAGACTACTCACAACAGCAATCCCTGGCATGCGTCGCGTTGGCAGGGTGAGGTTTCCATCCATGCCAGCAGTCCAAGGCTGGCGGCATTGTTGAACCAGCCTCTTTTGCTTTGCTTGGTGCCATGGCCACCACAACGCGCAGGCTTGTTGTGTATGTATCCATGTACGTGGGCATGTGTGCGCATGTATGTATGTATGTATGTATGTATGTATATATGTAATGTCATGTAATGTTATGTAATGTTATGTATATGTATATGAATATGAAAATGTATATGTATATGTATATGTAATGTAATGTAATGTTAAGTAAGCTAGTAAGTATGTATGTATGTATTTTTCCCTAAAGTGGCTGGCTGGTTTGGCGTTTTGGCCGGTCCTCTAGGCATGTTGCCTCAGCTGGCATGGCTCAGAAGTATTCGACTGCCATGTAGTCCTCACAAATCGGGTCATCTGCCAGCATGTCCTCCTCCTCGCCTTCTTGGCTGTCTGCGCTGGAAGCCACAGGCTGATTCTTTCAGGTGTGTGGGACCAGTGCATGGTCGTCAGTCTTGACACCCTCACCGCCTTGGGTGGGTTTCATGGGGATGGGTCACTGCTGGACAGGGCCTGCTTGTTGAACATCTCCTGAATGGGTGGGGACCCTTGGACGGCTGCGCCCTTGCACTCCGGTCCTTTTTGAAGGCGCTGGTGAGGATCACCCTGGCTTCCTTATCCCAGTGCAATTGGAGCCCACAGGAGGTGCAATGCAGCCGGTTGCCTTTCTGCTAAAGCCTCTGACTGAAGTGGCCCTCATGTCAACCTTCGAAGGCTTGGTCAATGCACTGGCTGTTCAAGTAGGCCTGGAATGCCTCTTCATTTGCACTTGTGGATGGCAATGCCGCACTTCAGGCATCTGAGATAGCCGGCAGTCTCTCCATGTTGGTGGGCTTGTGGACCAGGTGTTTGTTCCTCCTGAGCTTTCAGGACATGCTTGATCGTTTGTACCCGGGTGATCTTCTTGGGCATGGCCTCAGCAGTAGCTGGTGGTGGTGGGTTGGCGTCTTCGAGGAGCAGCTGAGGGCAGTCTTCTTGGAGTCTCTGCTCAATGACCGGGACTGTCAGTCCTTGATGTACTCTGACACCACAACTGAGGTGCCCACCTGTGATGCGGAGTGTTCCAGGATTTTGTGCATTGTCCAATCAGGTGCTTCTTGTGCTGCTTGGTCTGTCTGCCATGGTGCCTAGGGGTTTTGGCATGGGTGTAGTGGTCTTTGTCGTCAACGATCTTGGCCAGTCTGGCTGCAGCATGTTGGTAGATCTGACTATGATCACGATCGAGGGTGGTCTGCCAGTTGGCCTTGTGGTGGTCTTGCAGACTGGTGGCTCGCTCCCAAGCTGTGAGGGCTGCATCCCTCAGGTTCACCTCCTGGCGCGTCTGGCGTCCTGGTCTGTTTGCTGACATACAGAACGCGGAAATCAGCTTCAGTGACGCCGCATCGCTTCATTGCACGATGACCTTGACCTCAACTGTGGTGTGTTGCCCCAATGCACATAGGCCTGCCAAGAGGGCTCGTGCTTTGTTGTGGGGTTTTTGGGGAATGCCTGTGATGGCCTCCAAACGGTGGAGCTGCGCCAAAGACCCAGACCTGGCTTCTGCTGTCGTATGTGGATGGTGTGGCATCCTAAGTGAAAGCCCAGCCTTGATACTGGTCGGGCGCCGCCGCTTGCATGGACTGCCAACAGCCATATCCTTGGAGCGGATGATCAAGATGTATGTATGTGTGTATGTATGTATGCATGCATGTATGTATTTATTCTCCCAAAGGACCTTTTCAGGGTGAACGAGTTGGCGCATTGGCCATCGCAGCCGTGCCAGCAGCCTGCCATGAAGGTGCCATCGTGGTCGGCTTAGAAGTAGTCCACGTGGACTGTGGGGTTGTCCTCTCCCCTTTCCTCTTCCGCTTGTTCTTCACAGCCCCAGGATCTCCTTCTGCGCTCAAAGTCTCGTCAGAGAATCTGAGCTTCTTGGGTGCTGGGGGAGAGTATCCCTCCGCAGGTGTGGAGCTCTGTGGCGGCGTGCTTGGTTGTGGGCGTTGAGGACTGGCTGTGCTTGGTTTGCGCGCCAAAAAGCTTCACCAGAGTGGGTGAAGCCTGTGACTTGCCCCGGCACTCTTTTCTGAGTCCTTTGGTCAAAATGACCCGGTCAGCATCGTCGAGATGGCTTTGTAGCCCACAGATCCTGCATTTGATGCCTTTCCCCTTCTGCCAGAGATGGTGGCTGGCATGGGCATCATGACTTTTGGTGTGCTCTTCATCTACACACTTGCTGCCGGTGAAGCTCGAGAACACGGTACAGAGAGATTGCCCTTAGTGCACTTGAGGTATCCTGTTGTTTCTTGGAAAGCACGCTCGTCAGCTGCCACAGGATGTTGCTGTTTGAACGGCCGGGAGGGCCGCAATGGTGCCTGCCCGCGTTGTCTTCTTGCCTACAGCCCTGGTGGTCGGCAGACCAGGTTCCGGTGCCTCGTGTTGGAGGAGGTCACAGGGTTGCTGGAGCCTTTGTTCGATGATCTCAACCGTAAGGCCTTGGTGGACTCGAACATGGCAAGTATGACATTGGAAACCGCTGCGGTGTGGCTCCCACTCGACCCAGGGTTGGCGGCGCTGTTGGATGAGGCGTTTCTTGTGTTGTTTGGTGGTGTGTCCTGCCCGCCTCACTGGTTTCTCATGGAGGTAGTGCTGGGGATCTTTTAAGATCTTCTCCAACCTGGCTGCCGCATGTTGGTAGACCTGAAAGTGGTCTAGGTCCAGTGTCCTTTGCCAGGCTTCTGCATTGGCGTCGTGAATGGTATTTGCTCGCTCCCAAGCTGCAAGGGCGGCGTCCCTTTGTCGTTGCCGGAGATGTGGTTCGCTGCCTGGTGCACCTGGGGTCCTCTGATTCTTGTGAATGTGTGCGGGAAACATGTGTGAGATCAATGAAACCTTTCCTCTTGCGTATGCTTTTGAGAGCCAAGCTGAACAATCACTTTGACGGGAGTCAGGACGTACTGTGCCAGGGTGATTAGGCCTTGGGACAAAGCGCGGGCTTTGGTCTGTGGACCTGGTGGCATGCCTGTTACCTTTGCGTACCAGAGCGCCGAATGAGAACGTGTGGATGCATAGCGCAAAGATCCATGCCTGGGCCCTCTTGTCATAGGATGAGGGTGTTTTGCAGTGGGAGTGGTTCCATGCTTTGCCAGCACCCATGCCCCTGCAGCGGGAGGGGTTGTCCCAAGTGATCTTGGGGTTCTTTGGGGACCCACCCATAAGCCCAAAGAGGCTCTTCCAGTGGGTCTTGCAGTCTCTCTGTCCATGGGATTGGCAGGACCTCAT